CCTAAAGGTTCTTTCATGTTGTAGTGTATGAGGCACATTCTCCTTCCTTTTTAAGTCCAATATCCTGTTTTGTGTGTATGACTCATTTTGTTTATCCATCATCTATTGACATATCTTGGGTTGAGTTCACCTTTCAGCTCTTGTGAATAAGGGCACCATCAAGATGGGTATGAAATATCTCTTTGAGACCTTGCTTTCAGTTATTTTGGTTATATATCCAGAAGGAGAGTTACTAGACCATATAATAATTCTATGTTTCTTGTCTTGGGGATGCTTCTAAACTATTTTTGTCCAGCAGCTGTACCACTTTACCCTACAATAGTGCAGAGATGTTCTAATTTATTTGAATCTTTGACAGCTTTGTTATATTTTTTATAGTGGCCATCCTAATGGGCATGCAGTGGTATCTCACTGTGGTTGGTACCTCACTTTTCCTGGTCTCTAGATAATAGTCCATTGTGTAGACTTGCCACAGTTTATTTCTCCATTAGAAGACATCTTGAAGGACATCTTGGTTGCTTCCAAGCTTTGGCAGTTATGAATACTGCTGCTATAAACAAATGGGCAGGTTTTAGTGTGGACAAAAGTTTTCAACTCCTTTGATTAAATACCAAGGTGTATGATTGCTGGATTGTATGTTAGCTTTGTAAGAAACTGCCAAACTGTGTGCCAGAGTGGTTGTATTGTTTTGTGTTTCCAACAAAGACTATTTTTATGTCTGCTACACTACAATTGTTCCATATATTCCCTGATTGCATGTGCTTTCATTTGTATGTCCTGGTGATGAAAGGCTGCAGTGATTCTCTGACAATAGGTAGAATCCTACTCGTATGTTCTTTTAATATGACCTTCAATCAACTCTGGAGTCCTCTGGAGAGGGGATTGGAGTGGACTGAGGCAAACACTGCTTGGCTTTGTGTCTGGTTGCCTGAATTCATTTTCTACAGTATAGTGAGAAAGTTAAAACTTCTAACACCCACTCCCCCAAACAAATATATGCATTACTTAGGTTCTAATGTTCTTTTCTACTATATTTCTATGCTATTAATATTAGGGTACAAGCTGGATATGGTGGAACATGCCTGTAATCCCAGCATTCTAGGAGGCTGAGGTGGGAGGATGATAAGTTTGATCAAAGCCTGGTTGACATAGGGGCTTAGCACTAAGCTTCAGAATAAAAAATGAGGGGCTTGGGGATGCAGCTCAATTCAAAGGCCTGGGTTCAATCCCCAGTACTCCTTAAAAAATGGGGGTACAAGTCAAATATTCAGGTCCTTTTGCCACAGGAATATTTTCCTTTTTTTCTCTTTTCTGTCCTTTTCAGATGAAGAAAGATAATGAAAGACTTTTTCCTGAAAGTTTGGCTCTGGAACTCAAAATTTAAAATATCAGCCTCTTCAATGATATTCAAAACTATTTTTCTAGGAAGAGGTTCTAAATAAAAATGATCTTTACGACATATAATTCCAACAGAAGTATATAAAGTCTATTATTAAATTATATATTAAACTTTATATAATTAAATCATAAATATTTTGTATTATATATTATGTATATTATATATGTAATATACATATTATATAAAGGCTCATCAAAGGCATAGAGGAGAGTGTTGTGTTCTCAGCTCAAAGTGGTCAGCATCATAATGTCTATCACAATGAATAAATGGATAAATCCAGTGCAGTGTCTTCAAACAAGTGGCAATGAGAATGCTTGAACTATAATTACATAATGCAAATGAATGAAAGCGATATAATCTTAAGGAGCACAGACACGTACAAAGTGTACACGTGAAACAACTGAAACTAATCTACAGTATTAGAAGTCCAGGTACTAGTCTACTATCTTGGGGTGTGTGTAAGGGGAAGGGTAGTAACTAGTAAGCACTTCAGGAAGTTCTTAGGGGCCTGGCAATGTTTGCTGTCTTCATCTGAATCCTGGATAAGTTGTCAAAAGGTTTCAGGTTGTTTGTTTTTATTGGTGCATTTTTTCAGGACGTGTGCTATAATTCAATAAAACTTCAAAAAATGGTTCCTTCTCATGTTATAACAAATACACGATAACCACAGATTGATTTTGTAAAAGAAAGAAAGGAGGAAATTCAAGATAAAATGCATCCAGTAATTTAGATTTTTGTTGCCATTAAATGGAAGACTGACCCTTTCATTTAAATGCATTGACTCAGTAAACCAATAAAGGAAATTGACTTCCACACTCAGGGAGCTTTCCGAAGCAGTGCCTGAGCATCTGCATGGCCTTGAAATAGACCACAAAGCTGGACTTTTTGTAGAGAGTACCACAGTAGCAGCATGGGGAAGGTCATCATTTTTCATTTTTTTAATTCAGAAAAATGTAAATTGACACGTGCATATTTTGGAGTACTGTGTGATGTCTTGATGGTGTTCATTTCTGGAGTGCAAGTTTTTTTGTTTTATGAGATGTGACAGAAATATACGTTGAATGCTTACATTTTTAAAAAAATCATTGCAGTAAAGACATATTGCCATTAATACCCCTCAAAATACCTCCCCTCACTTTAAACACACGTTTCCCATCATTCCTACCACTTTCTGAAGCAGTTCTGGAAATCCTCTTTCATGAGTGTCTTTTCATGACTACACTGATGTCTGGAATCCATTTAAAATGTTTGTGGCAATTTCTGTTGAATAAAACCGTCACACTTTGTCTGTATCCACCGTATGCCCTGGATCTAGTACCATGCACCCTCTGGCCTTCCCCAAAGTCAAAATGACCATGAAAGGTCGGTGTTCGGAATCAATTCAGGACACCAAGGCAGCCACAACAGCACGACATTCAGACATTCAGAAAAGAGGACGCCCAGAACTGCTTCAGAGAGTGGTGAGAATAATGGGATTCGTGTGTTTGAAGTGAGGGGAAGTATTGTGAAGTGCATGAACGGCAGTGTGTTTTTTATTGTAATAAATTAAAAGTTTAAACCTTCATCTTAGACTTTACTCATACTTGATGTGGATGATTTTATTTGTCCATCTGCTTCTGTGTTGGATGCCTTTTGTAATTTCTTTCTTTCTTTCTTTCTTTTTTTTTTTTTTTTTTTTTTTTTTGATTTGAGATAGGGTCCCACTATGTAGTTGAGACTGACCTGGAACTCACTATGTAGCCCATTCTGGTCTCGAACTCATAGCGATCATCCTGCCTCAGCCTCCCAAGTGCTGGGATTACAGGCGTGCACTACCACACCTGGCTTTTTTCTTTTTGGTTGTGTGATTTCTTTAAGTACCAGGCAAAGGCTGTGTATAGTGCTTCCAAGAGAGACTAAAATGCAAAATGAATTCTACCTTCTGCTGTGTAAAAATGCTGTACTCGTTCGTCTGGAACTGGAATTCTTGGGTAATTGTACAGGTCTAGCTGACTTTCTACATGTTTTAACTATTTCTGTGAACTATTTTTCTTTCCTTGTAAACATTCCACTGCTGTTTTTCATTTGACTATCTGCTCCTTACCTTCTGAAGAGACTTGCTGTCTCCTGTGGCTGGCGGTGGACTCTGACAGATTCAGACACAACGGAAGGGCAAGCCAGGGTGAGTCAGAGTCAGGCTTGAATAGGGTATTGAGAGACTTGTGGCTTAGAAATAGGAAGGTAGTGGTCAAGGTGAGGCAGGACTGAGAAACCAGGTAGGATAGTCAGTGGCCGGGGTAGGGATGGGTGGTGAATTTTCATTAGGCCCAAATCAACGGGTAGACATCAGGTGAGCAGTCAGAAGTCAGGAGCAACTAGCACATATACACCAAATACAACAACACAGTGGGTCAGGACCTAGCTAGGAGAGGCAGACATCATGTAACTTCTTTCCACTAGATTTACAAGGTACAATTGAAAAATACGGTCCATGTTTAAGTTATTAAAGACACATTGCCATAACGCCCCTCAAAATATTTCCCCTTGCTTCAAACACGTTAATGCCATTGTTCGTACCACTTTCTGAAGTAGCTACGGAAGTCTTCTCTCCTGAGTGTCTTTAGCTGTGCTGTTGTGGAGCTTGGATGTCCTGAATAGATTCCAAACCTTTACCTTTCGTGATCTTTTTGCCTTAGGGGAAGAGCCAGAAGTGGCATGGTGCCAGGTCCATTGAATAAGATGGATGGGGACACAGCACAGCGATTCTACGAGTCTGCCTTTCTGTTGGATGGCACCTGGCAAGAGCATTCACCAGATTTTTGGTAACGCCTTGTAAAGACACTCACCACAGAGGGCCTTTAGAACTACTTCAGTCGCCAAGAATGGCAGATGGGACAAGTGCATTCTAAACGATGAGGCGTATTGTAACGGTGATTAATGGCAATGTGTCCTTTACCGTAACACATTTAAAAGAATTTAAACACACATTGTATATTTTGATCACCCCTTGTGCGCATCTTTAAAAGTGTTGTGTCCTAGTCAGCTTTTTGCTGCTAAACAAACAAGCACAGAATTTCAATGATATACAACAAAACCCTGCATATTTTTTTTCTCAGAGCTTTCAGTCTGTGGGTCAGATTGGGGTTTGCTCCATGTGTACCATCCTGGGGCTCACGTTGGAGGATCTGTGACTCATGAAGCATGACAGAGCTAAGCCAGTCTACGCACAGATGTCTCCAGCCTCTGCCCATGTCATCTGCTAACCCTGCACTGGCCAAATCAACTCACATGGCTGAAGACTGGAGGTGTGGAAGTATATTCTATCCTTGTTCCACATAACACAGTGTGGATATACAGTGGACCCTCGACTTACAAACTCAATTTGTTCAAGAGGGCTGGTTGTAACTCAAGTTGGTTGTAAGTCAAGCCTATTTTTCCTATAAGAACTAATGGAAATACTCGTAATGCATTCTGAACCTCCCAAAGCACTGTTTAACTAACAATTTCATAGTAAAAACAATTTATATAATGTATGTAATTTGCCAGAAACACCAATAATTTTTCTAGTGTATTCACCAAAAAGTAATAAAATGTACCTACTTTATCAGAGAAAAAAATTTCATACTATACTTTTTATACTGTATACTATACACCATTCAAGTTGACATCTTTGGCTTGCAGGAAGGGAGAATGAAATGGAAGGAGGTTATTGTTTGGAAGTAAAGTCCCCTTCCGTAAGAACATCAGGAATCTGGCTGCCTGGTGTCCTTTCTCTCCTTGCGAGAGTCTGTAGCCCACTAGGACCTGCTTCTGGCTCCCTAGGTCCCAACCTTGCCAGAACTAAAAAACTGGTCTAAGGTTTTCTTTAACACTATTCTGTAGTATGACATAACATTGCCATTAAGCAGGTGAATGCAATGATTGGCTTTTTCTCTGGGTGGGCCTTCTCTACAAATATTTGTGGCTCTGTTCATTTTTTTTAGAGTTTCCTTTATTTCAGAAGAAGAGCTTTGCTGCACTGATTTTTTTTTTTTTTTTAGAGGCAAGTTCTCATTCATAGTTCAGGCAGGCCCTGAACTTGCTATGTAGCCCAGGCTGGCCTTGAACTCACAGCGATCCTCCTATCTCAACCTCCTGAGTGCTGGTATTACAGGTGTGTGGCACCACACCTGGCTCTGCACTGATTGTTGATACTTCACCTCTCCTTCAGAAATTTCCTCAGCTCCCACTCTTTGCTTCTCAGCCGGAAGTTGCTGAAGCCCCAGTAGACAGTTCCTCTCAGTGTTCCTCCACCAGTTCCTCACCATTACAGTAGTAGGTACTGTCTACCTGTAAGGCTATGGACTCTGCCATAGTGACAGTGTCATCAACCAGAGGGCCATTTGAAGGGTCAAGATCCTCTACTCAGCTTCAAAGTCTCTCTCTTGTATAGTTTTAGGCCACATTTTCTTCCAGGAAGATCTCAGTGTCCTTAGAGAGACATTGGTCTGGGATTTCTCAGTTTCCTTCCAGAACTCTTTAAGGGTTAAATCTGTATCTGAGACCATCTGAAATCACTTCAGGAGCAGTTTCTTGGTATATTGCTTCTTAAAGCTGACTATAACAGGCTGGTCCATAGGCTACAGTAGAAAAGTTGTAGAGGGACTCGAGTGAGAGCTATGGGAATTCTTCAGCCAATTCTTCTTCCAAATACTGTGGGTGAGCAGGGACATTGCCCATGATCAGAAGAGCCTTGAGTGGTAAACCTTTGTCCTCTAGCTATTTCTTAATGACAGAAAGCCTCCCTGATCCATTCAAGAAAAGTGCTCTTGTTATCCAGGCTTTTGCACTAGATCTCCACATGACCCCCTAGCCTGTTCTTCATGACTATGTTTTCTGAACACTCCAGGGGTTCTCAGAGTGATAAACCAAGAGAGGCTTTACCTTGAGGCCACCACTTGTATTGGCACATAGCAATAAGGTTGACCTGTCCTTCATAGGCTTGTGGCCTGGCATTATCTTTTTCTTGGTACTATATGTTTTCCTAGGCAATTTCTTGCAGAAAAGACCAGTTTTATCACAGTTGAAAACTTCATGAGAGCAAAAGCCATTTCTTTGTGTCATCTTTTTGAAATGGTGTATGTAATTTTCAGCATCCCTTTTATCAGCACTGGCTGTTTCACCATGCCTACTTATGCTATGAACCCAGTTCTCGCTTTAAAATTGTGAAACCACCCCTTACTGGCATGAAATATTTCACCATTATTACTCATCAATGGATTATCCTTTACAAGATCTGAATTTACAACCCCAGCTATTTTATAAATTGTATACTCAGATAGGCTATAACCTGCCTTCTGCCTTTTGTTTATCCACCCTTATAATAGCCTTTCTATCTCATCTAGCACTGTTGATCATATCTTACTAATTTGACTAATACCTTTAGCAACACTAGCTTCCTTATACAAATCTTTTCTCTGTAAGATTGTCAAGATTGTGGATTTCCATATGCTGTACATATCAGCAAGATGTCACACTAAAACCACTCTCCTATTTCTCCACAATTTCCTTCTTCTTTTTGACTGTGATTGCTTTCTTTACCTTCTCTTTCTTCCTTAGCTTCTTTTCTAGCTCTTTTGGGCCACTTTGATAGCAGTAATCACAGCAATTATATAAAACACTGACCAAAATCATGCCCACAAACATGTGCATCTGGGCTCAGACTGATGCTTGTGTACACTCACATACACTTTTCTGGCATTGTAAGTCTTTGTTTACAACTGCACAAGTGGCCAGCATTTGGGTCACAACTCAAGACTTTGGTCATAAGTTAAAACTAAAATTGCAGTTAGTTGCTCATATGTGGGGCCAGTCATAACTTGTGGGTCCGCTGTATAATTTTACTATAGGAAAGTAAAGAATTGGGACCTATAGTCAATTCAATAGGTTTTTCTCTAATACCAGTACCTTAGGCATTGGTACCATAGGTATATACTAATATAGTATAATAGTCATAGGTTTTACGCTAAGTGAAAGAAATACTTATGTGAATAAGACAGTTCTTACCTTTAAGAGGTTCACAGTCTGCATGGGAGTATGAGTGCTATTTTAGGCACAGTCATTTTGCTCCATCTGTTGATTGGTTTCCCAGTCTTTTCTATTTTCTCCTTCTTTGTGTCACAATTTTCCTTCCTTCACTGCCGAGGGTCCTTCTGGAAATGCAAAGAAGTCATACTATGCAATAATGGCCTTTCACCATTCAACACTTGTTAACCAAGTGCTTACCATTTGCTGACTACATTTTAGATGTTTGGGTTACTTCAATAAAGCAAACAGATATGTTCCTACCCTTGTAGGGTTTATACTGCCTTGCGGGGAGAGGGGAAGACAGACAATACAAAGCAGACCCCAATATAAGAAGTAAAATATATCATAGTTTTAAAGGTGGCAGAAAAAGAAAAAACTAAGTCAGAATGAGAGGGTGTGGAGGCTTTGTGGGCTGCCATTTTTAATAAGGAGACAATTAAACCTTATTGGGAAAGTAAGTCAGGAGCAGTCTTAAGGCGAAGGAGTCAACTATGAGGACAGCTAGGGTAAGAGAGCCTCAGGCAGAGAATAGTTAGTACAAAAGTCCTGAGATAGGCCTGCGCGGGAGCTCCCGGCCTGCGCGACAACAGACCCAGGAAGGACCCAAGGACCCCAGAGGGGTTTTTTTTCAGCTGCCTGCCTGCCTGCCTGTCTGCGATCACCCGGCGGCGTGCGCGCGAGC